ACCCGCCTGTATTCAAAATTCCCAAGAAACCTCATGTTATGTCCACTTACTCAATAAAGACACAATAAGGACGCGCCCATCTATTAGATCTACGACAGTTATAGCTACCAGGGAACAAAAAAACTGGAATATGAATATGAATTTTTAAAGCCATGGTACCATGTTTTAGCATACCCTTTTTCTTTTCCCTTCGTTTTTGCAAGTCGGCGTTCGACGTATACATGGCATTAATCATCTGTTGTGCTTTCTGTTCGCGGATCTTAGCGAGCTGATAATTAACGAAGGTCCAAACCATGTGGGCTTGTGTGAAAAGCACGAACAGCATGCAGTTCAATCTGAAAGGTAAGTTAACAAGGTAAAACTTTGGGAGAGAAGGAAATTGAAAAAATTGCCGTGGTCATAAACGCCTTAGGATTTTGGGTTTAAAAACAAGACCATTGGAGAACCACAAAAAGTGAAGCAGAACAACAACTTGCTGCTGCAAAATATACCAGAATTTAAAAAGCAAAATCAAAGCTCTATAACCTGATTAGATGGAAAATAGACAACCAATACAGGTGACAGATGATGAAAAAAGTAATTTTTCGATCCAGTTTTCGCAATAAATAAAAGGACATGTGCTCAGATGGCTGTAACCATGGCAAAAAAGTCATACAGTCTATGCAAGGGCTAACTTACGGAAAATGGAAAGTCAAGGTCAGCTCCTACTGTGCAACGTACCTGATTAGCCACGTATTGAAATTGCCAGCAGACACACTCATGGTCGCAACGCTGTACTGAGGCAGGCCATAACTAAAGCATACTTTAACAATAATAAGAGAACTTACTAGAACGTAAGAAAGGCCAAGACGGTACAGATAACTCGGGACGGTATGTACAAGCCATTGAAAATTGAAAACCTAGATAACCTTACTTAGACTCTCTGGGAGAAACTTACCCTACTTTAGCACCCAAAGGCCAACCGTAGAACTTCATCATACGCGCACAGTGATAGAAGGAATCGGTTGTGTAGTGGATAATCAAAAGGACAATGCCAAGTTTCGTGAAACTACGAGCGTTTTAATAAATTATCACCATCTTACTTCATGAAATAAGCTGCCGTCACGCCAATGAGGTAAAGAGTTGAGTAAAAAACTCTGTTGGGGATCTCGCTCTTCTTTGCTTTTTGGAAATAAAGTTCTGGATAGTTGTGCAGCCAATAACTTATCTAAGGAGTGTTAACTTAAAGGAAACGTACCTGAAAAATGAAAAACAACTTGATCCAGAAAGG